CCGGTTCAACCTCTCCCATCTCCACCCTTACATGAGAGCCGCAGACGGTACAGATCCGTGGTCTAACGTCATCCAATCGTTCGTCTCCGATAGCTTAGATTCATTTGGATCTCTGTGTAACACCGTTGAGGAAATCGAACCGTTAGGCTCGGAAGCGCTCCGAAGCTTCACGAAGCTTCCGGTTTGGTGCGTCGGGCCTTTGATCCCTCCGGCGATGCTGAAGGACGGACCGGGGTCTCTGGACATCGCCGGAAAAAGGACGGGGAAGGTTCACGGATTGTCGCCGGAGAAATGCAGAGAATGGCTGGATGAGCAATCTGAAGGATCTGTCCTGTACATCTCGTTCGGGTCGCAGAACACCATAAGCGCTTCGCAGATGATGGAATTGGGTCTGGGTTTGAAGGATAGCGGGAAGGCGTTCATCTGGGTGATAAGGCCGCCCATTGGGTTTGACATTAAAGGGGAATTCAAATCCGAATGGTTGCCGGAAGGGTTTCTAGAAGAGAATCAGGTGATGATTTTCCGTCTAATTATTCATACCTACTTACATACACGTTTGTAGACTGTGTTTTGACTTATTATGTTTATTATCTAACTTTTTTTCACAAACAAACATAATTTTTGTAATAATAAAAAAATAAGTTTAAAGTCACCTTTCTGATTGTATTGGCCGAAGTTATAGTGATTTACCTGTTTTTCATATTTTTTTATTTCATTAATAAAAAATATTTTAAATATAATTTCCCCATAAATCAGCAGAATTAGCTAATCCAGCTATTTCAACCATAATATCATAAATTTCAACAGAATAATTTGATTCAGTCAATTTTAATGTTATTAAACAGACTTTTAATTTTCTTTCCTTCTTATTTTTGAGCCAATTTGACGACACTAAAATTGTCAATACTCAATAGTCAATATTGCATATTTTGTATAAAATTGAACAATTCTATTTTTGGTCAAAAATGTTTGGTGTACACATACTTTGTACACATATTATGTACACCATGTCTAGTTGTCTGTATGCAAGACAGTTTTATAATGAATTGCATGTGTGGACAAACAACTAGGGGTGAAGTCCACAATATGTGTACGGTGTATCAACAACATTTGTTTTTACTTTTAACAACAGTCTTTTTTACAAATTTTAGATATACAATATTGATATCATATAAGAAATCATAAAATGTTATAAAATTTGATACAAAGTACGATTGTATAATTTTTGTTAAAAATGGACTTATAAATGAAAGATAATAACAATTGGCAAAATGTTATACGAGTACCATTTGGAAGGGGTTGTCAACAACTCAACATCACCTTCCTTAAAAGAGGGGACAAAAATGGGATCATAAATGTTTGGAAAATTGCATGACTAATAGAGAGCGACTAATGAAGAGCAACTGATGGAGAGCGAGATGCCTCAAGAATCAAAATTGTTGAAAAATGTGAAATTCAATATTTAGAAAATGTGAAAAGAATATTTAGAAAATTGGTGGTACAAATGAAAGAATGCCATTTGTAGATTTTTTTCTAGGCACGTGACAGGCCCTCTACATTTCAGTATTTCACCATAATACAAAGACTTCGTTAAAAAAAATTTATACAAATTGAAAATCGTGCACAGAAAGCAAGACATTGATTGGCTAACCGCTAGTGTACATGTACTTTGCACGTATACGAAAATCAATACTCTCTGTTTAAAATTCACTAAAATAGGTTTAAGTAAGGGTGGGGAAAAATACCGAAATTTCGGTATACCAGACTTACCCTATTGAAAAATACCGAATTTACCGAAGTGTTTGATATACCGACACTTTTGGTACGGTATGATATCGTACTGAATTACTTCGGTATGGTATCGGTATATATTTTGAAAATAAACAGTATACCGTCATACCGTAATTCCAAGTCAATGATTTCTTTAAAATTATAAAAATAACTAGAAACACAACATTAATTCAAGGATAATGACTTTATATCCATGTTTCTTGAATTATTTATACTTTTTGTTGGAGATCGATGTTATTTCAAATATATTTATGTTGTTTAAATTATTATTTTAGCAGAATGTGTTGTTATCTTCATATACCATGTGTTGAAGTATCCGTACATATTTATAATATTTTTTTGTTCAAAGTTGAATAGAACACAAATAGGTTATCATTGGTATTTTATAATTAATTTCATTAATAATTTTAGTATATCACTATTAACACTGATTTTCTATATTTCATTTGATATATAACAATTTGATATTAAATCATGATAATTTGCCGATACCGGAGCTTACCGTACCGAAATTTTGGTATACCGAAACAAGGTATACCGAAATTTAGGTATGGTAATGGTATGTATTTTTGCATACCGAAAGTTTATGGTATGGTAAAAGTATGAATAAAATCTTCGGTATATCGTACCGAACCACCCCTAGGTCTAATCACATTATTTAAGGATGGAATAGTACGAGTAATTAATAGTGTAGCAAAAGTAAAAGTGAAAATGTATGAAAGATAAGATAAAAAATAGAAAAAGTTGGAACAATTGAATATTTTTTAAATGATAAACATACAAAAAAAGGAAAGTGTAGGAATCTTTTAAATGTATCCCAAAAAGTAATGTATAACAAACTTTGTAAAAATTTTACTTTGTAAAATTATCTACACGTCCATGAATGATTGTAAAATGTGAACAAAGGGCAGCTGTAAGAAAAACATTGTACAACCTACAATTCTACAAAGTCCAATTTTTTGTATTCAGGCAGAGAGACGTGGCCCAAAGCAAGGGCTGGTGATCCACGGCTGGGCACCGCAGCTGGAGATCCTGTGGCACAAATCAACAGGAGCATTCTTGAGCCATTGCGGGTGGAACTCGAGCCTCGAGAGCTTGAGCCAAGGGGTGCCCTTAATCGGGTGGCCCATGGCGGGAGAGCAGGCCTTCAATTCCAAGATGATGGCGGAGGAATTGGGGGTCTGCATTGAGCTGACCAAGGGAGTTAAGAGCAATATTGCCAGGAGTGATGTAAAGAGAGTGATAGATATTGTGCTATGCAGCAAGGAAATGACGGAGAAAGCGGGCCGAGTCAAGGATTTGATCAGGGTAGCCGTGAAGGAAGAAAATGCAGCAGCCGACGGAGGGGGTAAAGGGTCTTCCCTCCGCGCAATTGATGATTTCGTATCCGCCCTTCTCTCCAGAAGAAGAGTACCAGTGTGAATGGTTTTCAATTCCAAACACTATTGTGTAAATTGGGATAAAGATCCTTGGAATAATTGGCTGTAGACTTGGGATAAATAGAATGTTTTCTGGGACAAAAGAAACAAATTATTAGCACGGATATTCCCTCTATACGCTTTGGAGGACAGTAAACAAAAGCATCGGTTGAAGGGTTGTTGACTGTTGAATGTTGGTGTCTGGCTTGTTCAAAGCTCGTGAATTTATTAATTACAAGTCATATGTGGGGAACATGTCATGTTTTAGTCGTATAATTGTTTGAAGTGTAAGTTTGAATGTCAATTTCTCATGTAAATTGAAGTATGTAAGGGTGAACTGTTGGTTTTTATCATTTTTTGTTTTGTTTTCTTGAGTTTGAAATGTATTGGAAGATCATTTACCAAGTTCCATATTTTTCATTAGGTTTGATTGGTTTGATTTAATCCAGATTTTGTAATTCAATTCATTTTTTCTTGTTTTCAATTCAACACAATTTGGTAAAATGCTTTGAAACTTAAATGGCATATGACAATTGACATGGTATGGTAGAATTTGATTCGATTAAGTTTAGCCAATATGTTCACTCCTAAAGAGAGTACTTTCGTTGTATTTAGAGTAGACTTATGGACTCATAGGACTCCATAAGAACATCTCCAATGCTCTTAGTGCATTAGTGATGAAGTGGCAAAAAAATGGATGGAGTCTACTTGATATGTAAGCAAAATTTTAACTAAAATGGAGGATCTATCAAAATAATATTCCAATGAAAAGCAAAATAAGAAAGAGAAAAGCTCCATAATAATGATTATAGAGGGTGGCACCCAAAGATACACAAATGGACCTTGTCCTAAACCTTAGTCTATTTTTTCAATTGTCATATCACTTAAACTTGGAGGTGACATTTATATTTCAAAAGTGCAATTGATGAGGTGGAACTATAATAGACACTTGAGATGCCCTAAGGCTGATTGCAACCCATGGGTCAAAAAGCAATTTTGATCTATTCACTCCTAAAGACTCCACAACCCTTGTATTTGTAGAGGCTAAGCCTGGATAGATGGCATCCCATGGGTGGAAATTAGATGAGCTTTTCCACTCCCACCAAATTCACACTTCGCTGGAGGAAAGCAAAAAGGAGCAGCCGCATCAAATAATAACATGGGTCCCACTCAAAATGTAAATCTTATTTTATATTTAAAGTGTTTTAACTTTTTTTATTTATACTCTGATTTTTATAAAAAATATATCAAAATTCTTAACTTTTTATGACCTTTCATATGACACCAATATCACATATGTAAAGTAAAATGAAAAAAGTTGAAGATTCTACTAATGAAAGATTTCAGACCTAAATTTTTTCTTAAATAGATTCGGGTGTCAAAATGAAGATTTCACAATTAAATTATTTTTCCATCTTTCAAATATTTTTATTTTAAAATAGCTCTGAAGTAACAAAATTAAAACTAAACTTCAAATTTATTTACAAACAATGGAAAGAAATGATGTATAATAATAAATGTTAAGATTTTAATTAAAAAACTTTACAGAGTGAATATATTGACGGTGCTGGGTTGCAGTAAAAGTAAGGATTTATACATTTAATTTTTTTAAAAAAAATGTGCTGGATGAATATATTGACGGTGCTGGGTTGTAGAGAAAAATGGTTTGACTGAGTGAATACGTATAAAGAGCTGTGGAATTTGATTTATTGACGGAACAAGGTTGCGGGCAGCCTAAGAGAGACGTATGGGTCTCCTTAAATTTTTTGTTGTCGTTATGTATGGTATGGACCTTGTTCTAACTTTTAACACATCATATTTTGACAGTTTGCCCAAATAATAAATTAATATTGCATACGTAGGAGTTTTCAAATCTCCTGGGTGTGGAAAAAGGCAAGCGATATCTCATGTGCATCAGTTTTCTCCCCTACCGCAGCTTAGGGTTTAGCCGTCAGCGTTGTGCCGTTTTTTTGTTTCTTCCTACCGTTATGTATGCAGCGTTTAAGTATGATGGGCTCATCTTCTTCACTTGAGGATCTATATTTTAAATCGCATCTTGCTCAGGAAGAGGAGGAGGGTGTGGATGTTGGAGAAGCAAGCGAGACGGAGGCAAAGGGTGTTCATACGTCGACTGGTGGGCCGGATTCTTACGGACCGTCCAGTGAAATTTACCGCCTTCAAGGAGACGATGGCAAACGCCTGGAGGCCAGGAAAAGGGGTCTCCATGAGAGACTTGGGTGGACAGAAATTTTTGGTGCAGTTCTATCACAAATATGACCTTTGTAGGGTGTTGGATGACGGCCCCTGGTCGTTTGATCGTAACCTACTTCTTCCGAAGCGGCTGGGATCGTTTGAGAGCTCAAATCAGTGTACTCTCACGCAAGCAACTTTTATGATTCAGGTACACAATATTCCTTTGAACTTGATGACGTCGTATGTAGCTGAATTAATTGGCAATTATGTGGGCATTTTTGTTTCAGTTGATGAAAATAATTATAAGGGCCCTGTAAAAGTTTTTATGCGTGTGCATGTCTTAGTGGACATTGCAAATCCCCTGAAGCAAATGATGAAGTTGCGTAGAGGAAAGGAATGGGTGTGGATCGAATTCTGGTACGAGCGGTTGCCCACATTTTGTTATATCTGTGGCAGATTGGGTCATTCTGACCGTTTTTGTCCAGGTCATGTAGGGGAACGGGGCAGTGATCTGTCTAGGTCGTATGGTGTTTGTCTGGTAGGCGGTGGTTATTTCCTAAAGAAAAGGAAAGTGATGGGGATGAAGGTGGTGATGGGGTTCGGGCTATGCAGGTTTTTTTGAGCAGGAAGGTGGGGAAAGGGTTGTAAGGGAAATGGATAAGGTGGGGCACATATGGGTTGTTGGCAGGAGTGTTGTTTTGGGAGAAGGAGGGAAGGGGAGTTCGGTGGCAGGGGAAAAAAGGAGGCTGAACATTTTGAAGTTGGCAGATTGTGTGGGGTTGGAGAATAAAGGTGGGGAGTTGGAGTTTGGGTCAAATAAAGAAGATTTAGCAATGTTTCTGGTGCAAGGAGCTGCTAAGAGTTTAGAGATGGTTCCAGATGCTAATCAAACTGGGGAGCCTAAGAAGAGAGAAGTGCTGAATCTCCACGAGCAGGAAGGTCATGAAGCGGGTGCAATGATGATCGATGGGGCAAAGAACATGGAGATTCCGGGAGAACAGAAGCGCAAGAGGGGGTGGAAGGAGAAGCTACACGAGGATACGGGGGGGGGGGGGGACAAAATGACTCTTTGACCCAAAAAACGAAGAGGCAACGGGTCCGAGTTCTTAGACCCGTTGGTCATATATTGCTTTGTCAAAGGTGATTAACTCAGAGTCTAGCCCAAGGGCGGATGGTTACTTGTAGTGCATTTCTTATTTTAACCCCTATCTGAATGTTATGATTTTAATCTAAGCCCCTTTCTTTCAAAAAAAAAAAACTCCTATATAGATAGCCAATATAATGTTTTTAGAAATGAATAGATCCCCGTTCTTTACTATTGACTTTTTTTTTAGAAAATTCTATTCCTATTGATTTTTGATGCACTTTTCATCTTCTTTTGTGTCTTGATTATATTTCATATTTTTCTCATTTTCTTTCTTATTAATCTACTATTTCATATTTTATTTTTTAACCTCTTCATCTACCATCTACCATCTACTCGAGTATTTTCATGCTATTAATCAAGTGTTCACATGCATCCCCATAAAACCATGAATGCATGAATGAATGAATGAATGAATGAATGAATGAATGAATGAATGAATGAATGAATGAATGAATGAATGAATGAATGAATGAATGAATGAATGAATGAATGAATGAATGAATGAATGAATGAATGAATGAATGAATGAATGAATGAATGAATGAATGAATAAATAAATAAATAAATAAATAAATAAATAAATAAATAAATAAATAAATAAATAAATAAATAAATAAATAAATAAATAAATAAATAAATAAATAAATAAATAAATAAATAGATAAATAAATAAATAAATAAATAAATAAATAAATAAATAAATAAATAATTAAACAGATGAGTTATATAGCAGCAAGATACTGAGGGTGTTTGATAAATGACGTTTCAGCCAAAAATGACGGTTTGACCATTTTTGACGTTTTCGATAAGTGAAAACACTATTTGGTAAACAACGATTCGGCACTACCGTTTTTGAACGGAACCGCTAAAATGGAAACGCTGTAAATAGGAGAGTTTTGGATCATCGCTGTGAAAAATGGCCAAACAACTAAATTACCAAACATATTCTAACAACCCGTCAACTTATTCCGCTAGTCAAACCCGCCGATTGAATCCGCTATTGTCAACCTGCTAACATAATCCGCTAACCACTAACCGTTGAATGTCAAACATGCCCATTGGCTTAGAAGGACCACAAATAAACACAAAACCTGACCAATAATTCTGTTTAAAGCTTGTAAATAGCTTGCTCATTTTCATTAAACATGACTGCCAGCAAACTTGACTAAAACTGGAATAATGATCAAACAAAGTTGATGATAAGGGGTATACTAGTTTTATATAGTGGGATTTGATTTTGCAAACCATGTTTTTAGCAATATTGGACCTTTTTTTTTTTGAAAAAGCAATATTGGACTTATTACTATATTTTCAAAATCATTAATGTGTGCACTCTATGATCTGAAATTAATGAAAGAATAAAGTGCAAAGTCAAATGATTTTATGATCAAATAAGATATTTTGAGCTTCACAAAATATGATCTAAATATTCCAAAGACGAGGAAATGAGTGCGTTTGTTCAACCTTCTACAGTTATACGTCCAGTATTGCCCTAGATTAGAAAACTGAAAAAGTGTGTTCCTCCTAACATGTGACAAAGGGATGATAAACAATGACATCAATACGGACAGAGTTAAGAAGTTTGGCGGTGGATTGTGCTTTTTAAAATATCTATGTAGGGAAAATGCAAGTAGAAAGCGATTTTGCGTTTACTATATATGAGGTATATACTCGTAAACGAACCTATTCTTTTAGCTTTTACTCCGTATGTTTTAACTTTTCATTTGCTAAGTACTGCGAGTCTAGGACCATTGTATATCTAGCAACGTGTTACTGAAGTGTATATTTGATAAGATATATAGCGACACACTTAACGATATTTTACATAATTAGAGAGAGATGATTATTATTTATTATAAGTAGTATATCAGTAAAAGGCTAAAATTAAAAATGAATATGTGAATAGTACAGATCATACGAATATGTGAATAGTAGAGATAACTGGACAAAGACCTTTCTGTTTGTGATTAAATTTCAATCGGATTATCAAACTCAAAAAAGTGCACAATTGAACAAGTTATAAAATGTTAGTTACGGTGGAATGAACTTAATCCTTATAAACCTCTCTGTTTATTCAAAACTCTTGCACTATTCATACTCCATTATCCTATCGCTTAGGGTGATTCCCCGGAGGATGGCAAGTAGAAGTGTAGAACCAAATCTCAAGGGTTCACCAGGGGCATACCTAGACTCTGATATTCAAGCCAAAATTTTGAGTAGTTATCGCTATCGACAAAAAGTATGCCAGATTTCTGTATTTAAATTATTGGACCAAATAACTGCTAATAAGCCCGTATTGAATTTGTCATGTTCTTTTTTTGTTTGGGAAAAGCTTCACTAAAGTTAAAATGGCTTGTTTGTAATCGATAATCAAACACCAACACATAAAATACAAACTCATTTTGCTTTGGCTGGTGCTTGTTCCATTAGTATGCAAACCATCGCAATTCGCAAACATAAATCCTAAACAAAGGAATCTAGAATAGATACTCAAATGAATTACCACCAAGTCCACCATAGGTTTAGCCTTCCTAAACCTCCACATCCAAAGTGACCCCTATACATAGGGGTGGGCATGGTCCCTATTCTACACTGGGCCAGGACCTGCTGAAGACTGAGCCGGTTTTCCAATCCCGGAACAGAATTGATACCAGTCAGTTCCGTATTTTTTTAACCGGCTAAAAAACCGCTCTGGAACTGACATGAGAACTGACAAGAAACCAGACTAGGTGTAACTGGTTACAGTTTTGGTTCCAGCATAACCAAGACCTGGAAACGGCCAATGTGGAACTTGGACTGGAAAAGTGCAACCTCTAGTTACACACCATATAGATATACATTACTCTGGATGAATCATATCTATGGTATGGTCTGTCTGTCTCCATATAAGCGCACCACCTACTGGCTCCATGATAGGGACCTACCTATTTGAGTAATAATAGATAATAATTCTAATATGAATACTAGAAGAATAGCTACTGTTTAGTGGGCCTGTTATTTTGGGCCTATTATTATAGAGAATAATAAGATGGGTTTATACTATAAATAGAAAAGGGGAGGAAGGCATAAGGAGGCTTTTAGACATTTGGTCTTGGGACTGGGAAGGATACGAGACTGAACATCTCGATCTTTTGGGGCTTCGGCTTTGGGGGCTTCGGCCTTTGTACGATTACTGTTCATCTTCTTCAATAAAGAATTTCAGTTGTTTTTCTTGATAATTTTCTGTAAATTGTTCTGGAATTCTGGAGGTTCTTAACAATTGGTATCAGAGCGAGTTGATCGCTAGAAGAGATAGACATGCGCAAATATGGAAGGGAGAATCAACGAAGTGCAAACAAATATGGAAAGAAGTCTGCGGGAGTTCCAGACTAAAATGGCGGCGAGTTTTGCGGCGTTACAAATAAGTATCCCGAAATTGGAGATAAACACGCGGAATTGATCGGGAAGCAGACCGCATAAGTCAGACTCATTGCATCGTTCATCGCATCGTTCCTCAACATCGACCTTGGTGAAGATAAGCTCGGACTCTTCGCATCGTTCCTCGCATCGCACACCTCGCCATCATCATTCACCTCGTCATCATCATTCGCCTAGCCATCACCACTCGAGTCACTCGCGAAAATCAGTAGGTTCAGGGGAGTCGGAAGGGAATTCTGACCATTCTCATCCGCATCGCTCTTCGCAGAATTCTTATCATCGCTCTTCGCATCACTCTTATCATCGCTCTTCGCATCACTCTTATCATCGCTCTTCGCATCACTCTTATCATCGCTCTTCGCATCAGAGTTCGCAGACTTCCTTAAAGGATTCTCACAGTTCACATTCTTCGTCTAAAGTTACTTCTCGGAATTCGACTAGTTCAAAGAAGGAAGAATTACCTCTATTCTACGAACATGAAGCATACGAATGGATAGGGAGGATGGAAAGATATTTCCGAGTCCAAGCTATTGCAGAAAGATTTAAAGTGGACGTGGCAGCAAAGGCTATGGGCGAAGAAGCAGATGGCTGGTTTCAATGGTGGGATTTTCAAAAGAGAGAAGATAGTTGGGAGGCTCTAAAAGAAGATGTGATTAGGGATTTTCCACCTAGACACCGGCAGAAGACGGGGAAGACAGCAAAACAGGAGTCAACCAGATCAACAAGAACTTCTTCCAGTTCGCAAAAGTCATTGCCAAAATCATCCTTCAGTTCACAGGATTCAGTTGCTACTACCAGTTTACTTAAGAAGCAATCCATATGTGAAGTTACCAGTTCGCAATCCGGAATTGTGGCTGTCAGATCGGCATCAACTTGTATCAGGCCACCAGAAGATTCGGAAGGAATGGAAAATGTGGAATCAGATTTATACTCATCTCCAAAGGATGTTTGGACTGAAGAAATTTCCGATTCAGTTCAAGCTTTGATGCGGAAAATTTCATTAAGGACACCAACTCTTGAGTTGAATCGGGTTGAATCATCAGTTTCAATTGAACCTGTAAACAAGATGGAACCAACTGAACCTGTAATAATGCATAGGAATAAGAAAGATGAAATCAAGGAAGTTGCAGAAGATAAAGCTGTTCTTGTCAAAAGTCAAGAACCTAGACAGCAAAGGTGATGTTTTCTGAAAACTCATGCCGGGGTAAAAGGAGGATTGGTCCAGAGATTCATGTTCATCTTTTTTATGGGAAAACATATACCATTATTCCAATTGGGCAGTGATTTCACATAGAGGTTCACCAACTGGGATGAATGTTATGAGTGGAGGAAGACTGGTTATGGATGGTAGAGAGGCTGAAACAGCAGTGTACAATCCAAAATTGACCACTGGGATGCACTCTTCTAGTATGTTTAAAGCAATTTTCAAAAACCAGGTTGAAGAGGGACTTTCAGCTCCTTATAATTCGAAGGATCATCAAGAATATGCTCCAGTTGTTTCTTCTGCAATTGTGCATCTGAGTGAGAAGGGTCCAAGTAGTTGTGACTCACCTGCCAACTTAGGGGTGGACCGGGTGGCAGGAGAGTTCAGAAGTACAGGTTATATCATTGAGAAAACGGCAGGAAGTTATGTGGAACAAAATAATGAAGCTAATGAAAAGGAGAAGGTGAAACAAAGCTTGAAAATGGCAATGTTTTCTTCTGGTGAAGAATCTGCTCACCTGCTAGGATGCCAATTTTGGAAATCTTACATGGGAAATAATCTTTCATGTTCCTCGGTTAGGAGAACTGCAACTGGAATAAGGGGTATCCTTACTTACCTGCCAAAACCTTTGAGGCTTATTTTCTCAAATAAGGAAGTCAAAGAATTGAAAGAGGAAGAAGCTGAAAGGGACTGCTGGATAGTGACTGAGCCGAATGAAACCTCATTTCAAATCTCTTTTACTGCTGAAAGTTCTGTGATTTTAAAAGATATAGTACAGAAGTCCTCAGTCCATCAACCGGTTAGCTATTGGGAAGGAAGAGGAGCAAGGAAGAAGAAGAAACGGAAGATCTTGGCTGCCTCCTACCGCCCACCTTGAGGGCAAGGTGGATGTTTATGGAGGGAGTATTGATAGGGACCTACCTATTTGAGTAATAATAGATAGTAATTCTAATATGAATACTAGAAGAATAGCTACTGTTTAATGGGCCTGTTATTTTGGGCCTATTATTATAGAGAATAATAAGATGGGCTTATACTATAAATAGAAAAGGGGAGGAAGGCATAAGGAGGCTTTTAGACATTTGGTCTTGGGACTGGGAAGGATACGAGACTGAACATCTCGATCTTTTGGGGCTTCGGCTTTGGGGGCTTCGGCCTTTGTACGATTACTGTTCATCTTCTTCAATAAAGAATTTCAGTTGTTTTTCTTGATAATTTTCTGTAAATTGTTCTGGAATTCTGAAGGTTTTTAACACTCCACTAAGCGCATCTTAGAACATCTATCTAGAGAGGGGACGTAGATTAGAAAGTCCAATTTAATCTGGAAAAGTAAAGCAATTCATTACACAACCAACAAAATGTGAAGGGGTGTTACAACGTGCTACATAAGACATATATTACAGCATAATATGTAAAGTAAATATTCCGTTTATGGTACACAACTACTAATATATACAGTAAGAGGAGTTAAAAACATAAGAGAACACTAAACGAAAATAGCAAGTAGATAGTTGGAAATACCGAGGTCTTTAACCTTCAAAAGCTACTCAGTTGTTTCTTTTGGTATACACAGTACACAGTATATCAGGCACTTCCAGGCATCTCAGTGGATTGAGTGCCATAGGTCCAAAGTTTTCTCATTTCACCTCTAATCATACCCAGCACGACACAAGTTCCTACATCAAATAGAGCAACAGAATGTTTACTATTGCCCAAAAATTTATAATCAAATTATTAATCAATGGATTTGAAAGTACAATACCCAATGTGCAGGGTACAAGGTAGAGAAGGGCAGGTTGACCATGCCCATTCATTAGATACAACCCTAGGTAAGTAAAGCAAAGGCCTGCAACAATCCAATATTAGTTTGACGGTTTGACCATGGAACAGGAAGAAAAAGATACAAATACGATGCACTGGAGTATTCAGACTTCTCTCCTTGCATGTTTTCTCTTACTAAAACCTATATAACCAAACAAACCATTAAGCAAGAATACCTACCGACTCCATACCCAACCATTAGCCAAGGGAAGTATCCATTCAGTAGACCCTTTTGGTTAGCTTTGTCAAACCTGCAAAAACATTAACAATTTATAAACCACGCCACAATGAAGCGTGTTGCGATAAATAAGCAATTTGTCCAATTGATGCATTATGCATGTTCATTAATATTTGAATTTTAATACTCTTGTTTTATACATACATTGTGACATAAAGGAGACTATAACAGTGAACAATATTCCAAAGCCATGCACAGATGCACCCATATCCATTTTATATGTTTTTCATATTTGCATATGCATTCGGGGTAAGATATATTTCAAAAGAATCCAAGAGGACTACTCAAGTAGTCGGGTATGAGTATGTGCGTGTGTTCCCCCTTTTCTTAAAACTAAAATTTTTAGTGTAAAAATACAAGAAAATAAAAGTGAGCATACCTAAAAGCAAAAGAAACTAGCAAGCCAGGGAACAGAATGTCTCCAAACCCAATCATATCATAACCATCCCAAGGATCTGAGAGTCGAGGTACCCTTAGAAGCATTGGGATGGATTCTCCCCCACTTTTGTCACCTTTAGCAACCTACAAAAAGTTGTTAAATATCATCTCTCGGTTGTTGGGCGTTAAGTGGTACCCTCGATGGTAACCATTGAGCCGAGTAATGGGAGAGTAACAGTTTATTCAAGTTGCTAGTTGTTGGACCCAATCACATTTTTCTTTTTCTTACCAGGAAAACAATGTAAATGATAATGGTTGACTTAAGGTTTAGAAGTATTGAAAGAGTTGGGCAAGTTACAGGAAACTGTTTTGATTCTTTTTTTAATGATAAGAGGCTGAGAGCTAGAAATAAGGACAAGGATGACTTATAGACTTGCATTCCTTGATGGGGTATTAAAAAAACTTGATCAAGACCACATGATACTACTACTTTGCTCCTTAATTTACTTACTAGACTTTGTGCCCATACGGTAGCTTTTTTTTTTTCTTTTTATTATCTAGATTTCATACCATCTTTTATCTATCTTATGTTCTTATGTTATTTTTATCTCAGTCATCTTATCTCACCTTATCTTTTTATTTTTATTATCTTTCTTCTCCTTTGGCTCTGATATCATGGATCGATTCATGTTAGCCGACCCCTAAATCTTTTGGGATAAAGGCTTGCATGTTGTTGTTATGGTATCTAGATTTCATACAAACCAAAAACTTAATTAATTTTGAAGGGCTGCAGGCTGAAAAGATGGTGCAGAATCTGCACCCTTTTTAGAGAAATGGCTAAAATGCAAGTAAATGACATTCCTCTCTTCCCCTCAAGACATTATTTTCTTTAATTTATTAAATAAAAATACAAATTTATTTTTAGATAAAGGGGAGCCTTGGGGCACCTGTTAAGGTGTTGCTGAATCACCGAGAGGTCATGGGTTCAAGCCTTGAATAACTATGAAAATCCTAACTTTATTAACAACTTTTGATAATGAAAAGCTTATCTATCTAATATGTCAAAAGTAAATGACTAAATAAACCGATTCTTACCGCAATCATAACGCTGTCGTGGAATATTAGAGGTGATAGGAACACCCAAAAAATGTCGTACATGAATGCAGAACACAGTAGTACCGTAGCAACCTAGAACAAATTCAATTATCAGATAAATGGCAAACTACATATAGGTCTACACTTACTTCTACCCACATAATGAAGTACCTTAATATTGGTAAAGACATGCTCACTTTAATGAATAATTGGTAATTCGTCCAAAAAAAGAGCAGAATGTTTCAAGAGCTTTTTTCGTCCAAACAAAAAGTTAGGTTTCAAAAAGTCAACTTTCATTTTTAATTTAAATTCCTATACAGCCAAGAAGCAGGCAGGCTAGTCAAGTACTCCAAACAATGATGAAAATAAGTTTGAGGGGCATGAGTGACCATTTATATATTGTAAAGCTTGTGCCTTGACTGAGTTGATTGAAAATATGTTGTACCTTACTCAAACACGGCTCTTTTTTGGGACGGGAAAAGTTTATTAGATATAGTTCTATGCACATAATGAAGTACCTTTATATTGGGTAACTGAGCCATCTGCAGGACGGTTATCATTAGACATATGCCCTGGAAACAAGAAAACTACTCCTAACTTAACTGTAATACATACAAGCACTTCAAAAGAAGCATTAAGTCATGCAGGGATGTACAATAATTTGACACAAGTATATGCATGGACTAAAAGATGCATATCGCCTAAATATCACAGACCATTATAAATTCAAAATAAGATTTGATTATTTGAATAATGGGTCTGGTTGTATCACCAAAAAAGGCAGAACAATTTAAGGCAGCTGATAAAATTAAATTTAAAATCAAACTTACAAGAATATCTTGGCCAATCCAAGAGTATGATTCTTTCCTGTTTGCAGCCCAAAATATGGCAAAAGCCAAGCAAAGTAACAACACCGCAAGAGATAAAATGGATGTTTCCCCCAGAAGTGGCAAATTTACCGTCTTCCTTGCACAAGTTTTACATTTACTGCCCATAAGACATTAAGATAAACAAATGAGAATCTGAATTGTAGAAGGTACCATTATGTACGTAAAACAAAATATTTAGTTTAAGCAATAAGTTAAAATAAAGCAATACTAATTACCTTGATATAAGTGTTACTATACAATTGTGCATACCCTGAGATGAAAAGTAGGTAGTAAAAAACTTGTCAATCCATTACATGTTAAATATGATATTTTAAAAACGAAGAAAAAAAGTTTGCTTATCCTCCCCCACTCAAATCTGTATGCAACAAAAATCTATAGATGGCGTCATCGAAATACTTTGGCAATTATGTAATGACGTATCATAGGAATATAGGATTATGTCTCATGACCTCATCGTTTCATCCATCATCATAATCACCACCACCTTAATCCCAAGTTGTACTAAATTGGGTAGGTAAATTGTTTAACGTGTCAATAATTGTGTAAAATCAAATAAAACAAAACGTCAAAAAGTCATCATGTCGAGTAAGTCAATGTTCGACAAGGGGCACCTTGCGTGTGCAACCTTACACTTGAACTTAAAAAATCATAAGATGGTGATGCATTGAGATAGTTAATATCATGGGATGATGTACACAACCATAGTTTTTTGAACTACATATGAACCAATCATGTAAAAAGTTTTTCTTTTGAGTTTCTTTGAAGACGTTACGACATTATTAATCCTAATCCTCGTCACTTATACCACAATCCCGACCTTGTTGTGGGGGCATGAAAATAATAGTGTCACTTAACTGTCTAGATTATTAACAAAGTAAATTCATGTAAAATCATTTAAATTCATGTAAATTCATGCTCTTCCTGTCAGGCGGTCACAACTTTCTTTAGAAGGAATAGTTAGATGAAGTTTCAAGTTTCAGCACCATCATAATCATATGTTTTTCCAATCCCATAAGAAATTTCATTAGACCATGATAAGTTGAGTTAATTACTATAGCCATGTCCATTGCAAACAAATGGGTTTAAAATATCAAATTTTACAGCGAGGAACATGACCGAAAAGACGTTAATAAGTAACACTGGCTATTTTGTTTTTAATTCATTATGATTGCATATGCACATCATATTATGTGAAAAATAAAGGTGAACTAACCCTAGTACATTGCGAGCTTGGCAAAAACTCGAGAAAGAAAACTATAGTTATTAGACGTTATATAAGAGTATCAATAAACAGAAACTAAAGCGAGGAAAACCTCCAATGCTTTGAAAACCAGATGGGTTTCTTTATAGGCTAGTCATAAACGAAAAAGACAATTACACTTGGTATTGGAATCTAAAAAAGGCAAGAATCAATACCTCAACTCCTCCGATGCAGAAAAGTATTATCAGCACCCACACAAACCAAGAAGACATGAAGAGATATAGTAGCACCAAAAAAGTGGAGGCTGAAATGACAAAGACTATGGCACTTTTTGCATTAATATTGAGTATTTCATCACCTTCATCTTTTGCTGCTCCTGCAGATTCCTAAAGATAATTCATGCAAAAAAAGATCATCAACATAAGTAGTGATATACATGCATGAGACATTTGATGCACTAACAAAACATAGATATTTCAGCTACATTACGTAGTGACATATAATTGTACAACTACAAATATTCTCTTTTGACACATAATCATTGATGGGGAAAAAAGATCATGTTCACACTTGACAGAGAGAGCATTCATAACTTAATGGCACATGACAAATTATGCTATTTACTAGGGAAATTCGTGAAGCAAAAGATCAAAAACCACCTAGCATGTTCCCTAAATGATTTAAAACCCATGTATTATATCCCCTAATTGATACTTATAGAACTTAACCCTTTCATGTCTTATACTCCATACTTATTAGAACTTCCTTGTTCATATATTAGTAAAGAGAGATAATAATCACAGGCCCCCGATGCTAGAGGAGCACCATAAAGACGTCTTTCCAAGGGACACTCCCTCCCCCCAGCCAAAAAAATGATGCTTATTGAGCTTCAAGGCAACTTTCTAAACATTTCAAGAAACAACTTAGACTTCACTTCTTCAACGCCATACATACCAAAACTAAATTGGGCATCAGAGGACAACTGACGCCAGCATAAAAGTTTTATGATAAAACTATTGATCGACATTGGACTACTTCAACTCAGAGTTACACTATGGTCTTGGGTTCATTTGGTATCTGGAGACCCCAAGTTCAATAGGATATAAAGTATATTATTGGGATTCGGAGAGACATGATATTCCTTGGATTTCTTCCACATTTTGTTCTTTTTTCTGTGTGATGACCTTTATTAAAAAAATATATTTCTAGCCACTCAAAGCCCATGACATGCATATCTTATTCTCAAAGCAACCTTATGGACAAAATTCCCAAATACACAATGTCATTCCTCCTCTGACTGCACAAAGTAAAAGTGTGTTACAGAATACACATCCACTCATGGGCTCCCCAAGTCCACAACCATTTACACAATTACACCTAGATCGGCTAGGTTCAGAAGAACATCATCTATGATCTATGAATCTATCAAACAGTACTTTAAGATGCTAGCTTTAGCACATCACTCTAACACTTTTTGGTCTTTAAAAAAAGTTTATGCTGGAAAAGGTTCTCATCGACTCTCCAAAAAAACGGATTCAGCTCTGGCTCATTCTTATTTCATATCCTTCAGAATAACCATCACAAGAGTAGGCTGCTCTTGTGAAATGCAGACAAATAACAAGCAGGCTGGAACACATAGTTAAATGATTCAAAAAGTCAAAAGTAACAATTTGACCAAAATCTGGAACTGAGAGATGGTGAAGGAAACATACATCAGTTAAAACTTAAAAACAACTATTAAGCTACAAAAAATGATATTATTCCAAATATTAAAGGTACCCAAAATAATTGTGAGCGTAGATTGTAAAATATCATACAGATTCAAGTATATCAGAAGACACCATTCTGAGGATCACAGGAAGGAAAAAATGTTCATTAGCTGTGACCTCCTTGAGATTTGACTTAATATCACAAAGACCCATGCGCTATGATAAATAGGCACTGGCCTTCCTTTACGGGACTACGGGAGGTAAGTGACACACTTTCTAGGGTCTATATGCATACATTTTCATATGTGCAGGGGTACTTATGTGTAGAATATAAAATCATAGGGTGCAAGGTGCCTATTTGTGCAAGCGTATTATGATAATACGACAAACCTTGAGGAGGTCAACGATAATAACCCAATAAAAATGACACAAATAATTGATTTATTTGTAGAACCTTGGAAGATAGTTGGTAGTCATCAATCGCCTTGGATGCAGTAAATTTTGACCAAATAGATGCACAAAAAACAGTTCCAACAGCCATCAACCATAAGAATATCACTGAGTAATCCAAAATGGGGCGATCTGGCGCATACAAAAGCAGGTGCACTGCAAGAAAAAATTGAAAAATAGTTTTATGAATCATTCGATGAAAATGTTTAGATTAGTCACATTAGACAATGGGTTACTATCTTAAAGATTTATGTTTGTAAGTACTGGTACCCACAAAAATTAGCTACACATGTCCACACTTACAGATACAGAACACGTCTAAATACTAGTCATATGCCATCCACTAGTATACAGAGTAACATATTACATACTACGTAGTAAATTAAAAACATCAGGTACATGAGCATTGAGCATCATATAAATTACTTGTAGTGACCATGATAATTGAACATTGCATTCTGTTATGGACCTAGCCCATACTAGGTTCATACCAGTGTCATAAGCCCATGTCTAGAACTCACTCCTAAAAGACCAACCGATTAGGAGGGAACACCTTGCTTATAAGTCACCGGTCAAGCCCATACTTGACCTGTGTGGGATCGTAACAATACCCCACACTTCGAAGAGCCAACGTCCTCGTTGGTCACAGCTATGTTGGTCACGGTTGGCACCCCCAGGGCCCAAGCCACCGGCCCACCACTCCATAGGCCACCACTCCGAGTGTCGGGACTACGAAGATGGGGACGGCTCTGATACCAATTGTTATGGACCTAGCCCATACTAGGCTCATACCAGGCTCATACCGGTGTCATAAGCCCATGTGTAGAACTCACTCCTAAAAGACCAATCGATTAGGAGGAGGGAACACCTTGCTTATAAGCCACCAGTCAAGCCCATACTTGACCGGTGTGGGATTGTAACACATTCCTACCAAAAGAATTAAAAAGAACTGTGAAAAATTCCCAAGAACTAGCCTATTATAGTCTAGTACAAAATTATACCCCAATCTTTCACAAACTAAACCGAAGCAGACATAACAAATGAAATTTATATGTTTAAGATCTCTCTAGGGTCCTCCAATTGGTATTCATTCCTCTACCTTATTCGTTCATCTTATTCTTATTTTATTCAAATAAAAAAAGATTCAGATCAGACTGAAAACATTTAGATGAGATAAAAAAAAAATTCAGACATGATTTATTACTTTTAGAACCCATTTGGTAACACTCGAATTACCTGAATCGACTGATTCTGCTGTAATTTATGAAGTTCTGGACGAAGTGGTTGGATTGGTTGATTCTGTTTATTTACTTATTTATGAAAAAATATTAAAATATACTACCTCCATCCCATTTTAGTTAGCCATCTTTGACTTTTCCCGTCAAAGATGGTAAATTTTGATCAATTATTTTTATTACTCCCTCCATCCCGAATTGTAAGATACTTTACGGTTTACGATGTTTGACCAAAGATAAAGCAAACGGATCCTTGTCCGCACTCAAATTATTTTTATAAAAAGAATACGTATTCAGAAACTACATCAAAAGCTTTACAAGGTCGCAAAAACTAGAATCAAATTTGATAAAAATTTGATATATAAAGTAAGAGATTAAGAGTGATTTGTGTTGACAAAGTTAATAGGAAAGATATCTTACAAAATGGGACTGAGGGAGTGATATATTTATGCAAAGCTTAATAAATTAATACTTTTATGATAATATTTTTGACGATGGACATTTTCATATTATCAATACTTCTGTATATAAATATATAATCGATCAAAATTAGACATTATTGACTTGAATAGTCAAGTTTGGTTAATAAAAACAGATTGGGGGGGTATTTTATTAATAAAATAAAGAAAAAATTATGTGAAAAATAGCTAAAATGGTCTTTTACAGTAACTTTAGCCAATTCTGCAAGTCTGCAACCTTACTTATTCCGATTATTACACAATTCAGTCTGCGAAATCAAAAGTTACGTGTTTAATGAAAATTTTGATTGATAAGACCGACAAGCGGAAAAAAATGGTCACCAAGCGGGCTATTATTATTATCATTACTATTATTGTTATTCTGAATATGATGATGATTAACACTATTATTGTTATTCTCAATATGATGATGATTAACACTATAATTGTTAATGTTATTTATTATCATTGGTGTTATTTATTATCATTGGTGTTGTTATTCATATGTTATTATTGTTGTTGTTATTTGTATGTCAGATTAGAAACATTCATATCAAATTATATAAAAAAATCAGATTAGATCAAATCAAAACGATTCAGATCAAATCAAAACAGACCAGAGAAAATTCAAATCACACCAGATCTTGAAATATTATGATCAGAAATATCCAAGTCAGGCAAGCATAACAACTTCTTATAGGTTCACGGTCTCTTAAGGGTTCCTCCCTTTTGGATTCGTTCATCCACAAACGGGCAAAAGAGGTTCTAACCCCCTCAACAAGTAAATGAGAGCAAAAGGGACAAAAATACCAAGAGTAACATAACAACTTTAAAAGGTACCCATCTCCAGGGAAACTACTGTTTACCTTTGTTTCCAGCATCCATGTATTTTCGAATTATGTCTCCTCCAGATTTAGATATCATCACCACTGGTATTTTTATTTGGACATCCTCATTTCCAGAACAACCCATCTCCACTAGAGCTGGAGGAAGAAATGAAATAGCTTATTTCCCAATTGAACTTCACACAGTATAATGAGAAAGTAAGGAGTATAATATTTCAGCAAATTTAACATTGAGCAAATAAAAAAACTCAAACCTTCATCCTCATTTATTATCACAATGCCTTCAGCACCTCCTCCTTGCGCAACTTTAGCCTTTGTTAAAAAATCACATTCACCACGCATTGCTAATGCCATAGCACCCGATAACTACAAGACATCAATAGATCTTTAAATCGCCAAATGACCAAGTCCAGGCAATAAAAACTTAACATCAATACGATTCAATTGATTTCACATTTTGTTTATTGGAGACAAGAAAGTGTAAGACAAATTATCAGCTTGACTCTGAGTCCAAGTCTAAATTTTGGTTATTAACTTATATCTCCAAAATATCTATGTTCTAGAGAGTGCAGAGGCCAGTAGCAAGGTATCTGACTCAACCACATAGGAATATTGTTCTGTATTCATGATTACATAAATAATTCAAAGATGTAGAGTTCATTTCAATACATTACATATTACAGCTCTAAAGCATCTTCATAGTCACTACAATGAACCCCATTCAAAATGCAGGTATAAAGGAGTGTTTGTGGTTGCTTCTTTAAAAAGTGATTTATATGTGCTTTTAGAGAAAGGGCTTAATAGTAAAAGTTTTAGTGTTTGAAAAAGTGATTTTGAAAAAGTAAAGGTTTTATACTATTTGGTAAAATAAGTACTTTTTGAGTTTTTGTGTAATACAAAAAAGTGAAAAGTAGTTTAAAGCACACGTCCACCTGCATCCAGCCTTTAGCTTTGAAGTGCTTAATGTAAACCGAAATTGTCATTTGAAAACACCAATTTCTGCCTTTTTAAGCAAAAAAACTAAAAAAACATTTTTTAATATGTTGCAAACACTCCCTAAGTTGCAGGTGACAGAAATGCATAAATTTCTTTGAGTTGATAGCACGATAAATTAGTAGGGCTAAGTTGACCAACAAGGAGACAATATTTAAATAAGCATGAAATTACTTCTACAAGAAAATGGGAATTATATAATATTAACTATTAACCATAAACCACTAATAATACGTACTTTGGAAATATTTTTAATAATACCAATTATTTCAATATATAACAAAAATAATATGGAGCTACTTTCCGACTAAAAATCCAGTCATTTGAGATTCTAAGACATCAAAATCTGATATTAAACTATCAAAAAATGGTTATTTTGAAACATTTTGGACTTGCAAAATAGGACTGTCATATTTTTATTGCTTAAATAGGAGTAATTACTGCCAAACTTGAAAAATACTTTCATGTTTAAAATCTGGTAATAACAAAACATGGCAGTAATTATTACTACTTCCGTTCTCTTTTATTTGCAACATTGGACTTTTTGCACTATTCACATATTCTACTTTGACTATATTTTATTTATTAACGTATTATAAATTAAACTTTTAAAAATATTCTTAAATTCCTCTCATTATAATTTTTTAAAATATGAATTTTTTAATTTTTTACTAATAAGGTATGAAAGATATTAATGCCCAAACTTGGGCATTGGCAAACGTGAAAAGTGGAACGTTACAATTAAAAAAGAACGGAGGAAGTACTATTTAGAAAATAAAAATATGACTTTATATTTTGGAATTCACAAGCGTTTTTACTCCTATTCGACAATTTCTTTATTTTGAAATGAGGTTTCTTACTCAATATTTTGATAAGAGTTTATGATGAGTTATAATTGTTAAATGACTAAATTTCTAGTGGAAAATAGCTCTATATCACATTTGTTACATATTCAAATAATTAATATTATTGAATATTATGTCCAATGTGTGTACAATTCTTGGTTTATGGGTGATGGCTGATACTCCCTCCGTCCCATTTTACATGTCTTACTTTCCTATTAAAGTTGTCCCAAAATAAGTATCATATTTCCTTTTTGGAAAGAAATATGTGGTTCACAACATTTCACTTTATTATACTCAAATGAGTCAAATCTCAACCACATGTTTTACTTTTTCAATCACTTATTAATAATTGTGTCAAACCAAAACAAGTCACATAAAATGGGACAGAGGTAGTATTGTGCAAAGTTATTTTCCCCTTTTAAGTATATATTTGCTATACGAAACCATCTATCCTTGAATTTCAAATATGGGTGATAATAAACTTGCATATAATAAGGATATCACCCAAGACACCAAATTTGTACATAGTACATAATAAACTACGAACACACAAATTTGCATATATTCTACCATTATCATCTCTCCTTTTCTTTTTTTATAATCCAAATCAGAGTCCAACTGCCAAACTTGGATAAACTTGCATATATTATATCATTATCATCTCTCTTATTCTTTTTAATAATCCACATCAGGTTCGAACTGCCAAAGTTCTCCTGTCTGATTTATAGGCCTGCATTTCACCCATGATGGCCCTTGTTAATTGTTATGTCCTTCTATCCAAACTGATTGTACACCTATCGCAAACCTTTTTTTGCCTATCATCACCTGACCTCAAAAACATAGGATGAGTGGATGACAACTCCAAAAAGGTAACTATGCCTCATACCCTCCCAACTTTTATTAGTTCCATATCATTATATCAACAACCTGATGTGACAGGTGCTCATATTACTGATACCCATTCCCTCATGTTATCTCCTTTGTACCCTATCAAGTTTTGAATGCAAACCATAGCATGATGTTAAGGTACTCCCACTAAACCCCATGCTGAAATGTGTACAGCATCTCCCCCCAAATGACTGTTAAACTGCTTTTTCTAATTGAGCAATCCCTTTCTATGATAAACACCTTTGTAATTAACAAACACTTCATAGTAACTACTTGAACAAAATAGAAGCAACAAAACCAAACTCTATGTTTTAGATAACTGAAATAACATTTCTAGATTAGTGTAAGCATACTTTCGGAGAGATACTGGAACAGCAATTCAAAGGGTTTGTGTAAGAAGCACGCAATTTGACACCCTTTTTTTCCTCCGTAGGTAAAAGTGTACCAAATGCTGCACTAAGTCCCCCTATTTCTTCCCCTTCTGCGCCATTCAACCATGTCTTGATTTTAACCTGAATGAAAGATGGGGTCAGAAGAAAAAAAATATGTTTTCTGCTAAGTATACCAATAGCACTTTTTTGCTTCATTAATTCATTAACCCTTCCACCATCCAGTGGAAGTCCCTCCAGGAAAGGAGAATCTTACAATGAAAGACAAATTATTTCATTCATAATAACTGTATTATGGTTAAAAATTATGTAGCTTTCTGAAATCTGACAGGTCCAGACTGATCCTTCTCCTCCTCTTAAAGCATCCTGACTCCCATGGTCCGTGGATATTGAAAATGATATCGAACCTCCATCTTCTCTATTAACTCATAACTTTTCTAATTATCACTCTGCATTTCCGAAGTACAATGTAACAGTCATATTAACTCATATCTTTTCTCATATTATGGATTTCCAAATCCAAAGGTCAATGGAACATGGGTTACTAATATTGTTAATTTGACAATTCCAAAGGTCAAAGGAACATTCATAAATGGGCGGAGCTGGATCCATGCTAGTCCCTCGCCCACCCCAAATTAAAAAAAAAAAATGCTTTAAATATTAGTGTAAAAAATTATATGTTAAAATTTCCCAAAAACAATTTGTACCAGCCCAGTCCAGTTTGGACCCATAACTACGTCACCGTTTCAAAACCGAGCTCCAAGCTTCTAGCAGTCAAGTGACTTATTCTTACCTGATGTCCAGTATAGTAGAGCTTATGATTGTGAGAAATTGAAAAAATCATAATCCACCATTTGTTAATTGATGTGTCACCACCTTAAATAAGCTCAGAAGTGTTGGGCAATCTATAATGCACTATTTTTCAAACGTGTAAAAGGCACATAGCTGAACTATATTATCAATAATCTATAAGGGATCATTTTGGATAAACACCATACCGTCATACGTTAGACTTTAGATATAAAAGATTCTCAACATGCTCAAAACAACTTATGTAGTTATATAGGCTGTGTTCAAACAAACCTCTGAAAATCTATGCTTAAGTTTCTTGATATAAGGCTATCAAATTCTTGAAATAGTTCACTGACATAAGGTCAAGCTATATTTTCAAAACACATGAGCTATATACATTAAGCAAACCACAACCCACCTCTCCAGAAGAGAAAAAAAGCCCTCTTGAATTATTAAATGTGCTATATCATCCCCCATTCCGCTATCAATGTGTTATTGATGTATTAATGTACAATGTCATTGAATGAAGACCACTCAAATGCCTCGATGGCTGTATATCCCAAGGCAGAAACACATAGAGAGCAAGACCAAAATAGTAATGCTAAAAATTCCTGCCAAGTATCAACATAGGTGACAACTTTGAATATGAAATGCAGCCATCCAGCAGTAGCCAAATCAATTATTCCAAGATTAACACTAGTTTTTTTTCAATTCGTTAAGTCAAACATCAATATATGAATACTTCCATCAAACTCTACAACCTAATCTACCAAATTAAGCACCTTTAAATACACACACGCAAAATGCAAACGCGGAGAGGCGCATGTGCGAAATGAGGAAATACTCAAGGCGGTGGAAAATTAATGGGAGAAAAATGAAATACCAATGTGAATGGATTGTTGCAGGTAGCAGACACATTAGGGGAGGCGTGTGAAACGTCATCGTCTGCGGCACCGGCTGTTGCTGAAATACAAAGTACGGAGACAATGATTCCCAATCCGAAAATGGACCGATACATTTCCATACTTCAGATCGATCTTGCCTCCTTTCTAATTATCTTCCCTTAATTCCCCCCTATTTCTTCTGCTTTATTCTTCCCTTCGCGATATCTACATATTCATGAAGGAAACGGAAAGAGAAGTCTGTATAGGAGCATCTCCACCCTTTCCACGTCAATGAACAGGTTAGTTTTGGAAATTCAAGGTACAGAACTAACCGTGTGTCCGTGAGAGAGCTTTTTTTTAGAGTGCTCCTTGGGTACCCCATTTTGTACCTCAATCTGTACACCGTCTGTGTACACAGACATGTGTACACAGGCAATTCAGGAGGGTGGGTACACAGACATGTGTACACAGGCAATTCAGGAGGGTGGGTACAAAATGGGGTACATTTTGGGTACCTATAGATTGTTTGTTTTTTTATAACGACGTAATTCTGTAATTAAAAATAGGGGATGTGTGTATGATCATATTTCAAAATTCCAACGAATTGCTATACTTTTTTTGATCGGTTCAAAGCCGCATGTAAAATTTGGGATATATTATGGTACAATAGGTCTGATGTAAATCGGTACCTATATTACAAAATTTGGATTAGCCCAAAATAGTCATATTAACTGACTCATTGTAGTTCATACTACAGTAAGTCCATATTACAATCATATTACCAATAATACACTTTAAAATTCTTACGGGAAAAGAAGACATATCAAGACCTATGTCAGGAATATTATTCAGAAGAGATGCAGAAAGATGGAGCCACCAAAAAAATGAAGATATTATGTGGAAGAAAAGTTGACACTTGTTATCTATCATGAGAGATGGAGCCAACAAATGGAGGATGAGAGCCATCAAAAGGACACATATTAATATATTATCAATGTAAATCAAGTGGGAGTCCCAAAACAACATGTCAAGAGACATTTGGCAAACTATTGTGGAGATTACTATTTATTGCTTTACAAATGTACAACAATAATGAAATATTTACTATTCATGTATCATTTAATTTCTATCGTGTAATAATTGTACCACTGTGGAAATCTTCTACATAAGGAGCTCATTGTACCCATAAGAAGGCATAAAAAATCATAAGCTCTCTACGCAAGAATTCAATAAAGCTTGAATTTTCTTTCCATGTTTCTCTAAGGCTCTCTTTTCTATAATCTTTAGTTTTGGAAATTCAAGCTACAACAACTAACAGTGTGCCCGTGAGAGAGCTTCTTTTTATAACAAACGTAATTCAGAACATGTAATTTAAAAAAAAAAGGATGTGTGTATGAATAATCATATTTCAAAATTCCAACGAATTGCTATACTTTTTTTTAGGCACGAGTCTTTATTCCCAAAAAAATATTAATGACTAATTTTAGCAATTAATGATTTTTTTGTGATATTAATGACTAGTTTTAGCAATTAATGATAAAAAAATTGCTCTAAAAACATTCAATGGTTGAGTTTTCATAATTTTATTTTTATTCTTTTATATTCGATATTGAAGCTATATGAAAGATCATGAAAATTGAAGTACGAATAAAAAGGTTATGTTACTTTAATAATAGGTTTTTACTTTTGCATATCCCCACATTTTCTATCATTTTGTCGTAGTCAACTGCATCTCACTCATTCGTCAATATGCCGATGAATCCTCACCCCAAGAGTGCCTTAACCCCACTTTCGCACCCTTGTATACTTTGGGTTGGACATGTTTTTGTGGTAAAAAGTTCAATTATGACTTTTCCACTCCGAGACTGTGGACAACCTAAATGATCACAATTTTTTAATATTCAATGTGACAATGTGGGCAGAATCACACGCTCAAAGTTGATTCCTCTCAATTGTAGATGTTTTGACATTTTTTAGATGTGTGCAAGATATTTTTATTCCACATTGCTCGCATGAGCTGGTTACCATGTTAGATACTCTTCCTACAATTATTCAATGTCACTATATGTATTTCATTCATAACGTAGTGGCTAAAAAATAAAATCACAAATGCATTCCCGATGACACCATTCAATCATACAATGAAAAATGATTTCAACATGCACAAAAATATGTTAAAACACTGACTTGTCATTTCTGTGGTAAATTGTAAATTGTAATATATATGTTTAAATATTGACTTATCACTTCGGTATGAAATTGCAATCTTAAAAGCCGCATCTTTATGTGAAAGTAATGGAATAGTAAGAACACAACAAAGAAAATTCTTAAAAGGGTGAATAAGAAGAGGGGAGATAGAAAAAAGAAAGAGAAAGAACACATTGTCCGCCTATGGATTAGTAGTAGGAGAAAGTCTAGTTAAAATAATACTCACATCCTATTTTATGTCTTCTTTTCTTTTGGCATTGTCCAATATAAGTATTATATTTTCTTTTTTGGAAAAAAATGTGATTCACATCATTTTACTTTAGGGAAAGTTCCCGAAATAGGACTAAATAAGTTTGAAAATTCCAAAATAGGACTGTCATGTTTTTATTCCCAAAATAGGAGTAATTACTGTCAGGTTAGGAAAATACTGTCATCTTTAAAGTCTGGTACTGCCAAAACATGACAGTAATTAGTCCTATTTTGGGAATAAAAACATGACAGTCCTATTTAGAGAATATACAAACGTTTTTAGTCCTATTTAGGGTAATTTCTCTTTACTTTATTATATTCAAATAACTACAACGAATTTTATTTTTTGAATCGTTATATTAATAATTGAAGACACATAAAATGACACGAAAATGGTAGAAGATAATGAATTTGATATTACTAGTACATTTCAATAATGTATGATAAATTTTATTCATCATTCACGTTTACTAATTATATGTGTAACTATAAAGTTAGCTTGCATTAAATTTCATTTTAATTGTTAAATGATACTGATTTAAATTAGGGAAAATAGAAACTAATAATCCAACCTTTTAGCGGTCTTCTTTTAATAATCCCACCTTTTCGTTATTCATGAATAATCTAACCTTTGACCTCATCTTCATTCACTGGTCCCTAACCGATTGATGACATGCTATTCCAAATTATTTTCTTATCTTTGCAAAATATTATCTTTGTGAAATGTGAGATTTATGATATAATGGTTTGCAGAGATAAGAAAATAACTTGGAATAGCAGGTCATCAACCGACCAGAGATTAATGAATGAAGATGAGGTGCAAAGGTTGGATTATTCATGAATAACGAAAAGGTAGGATTATTAAAAGAAGACCACTAAAAGGTTGGATTATTAGTTTCCATTTTCCCTTTAAATTATTGAAACCACTATTACTAATTAGTACTAATTTTGGTAAAATATAATTGAACAATTGAATTATAAAAGATATAATTGAAGAATTGAACTACTCCTTGTAGTGGAGAAATCATTCAATTTAATATCTAACGTGCTCTAATATGCAAATATATGACATTACTGATGATTTCCCAAAGGGGAGATCGCAGTTCGAATCGCATCCCAATCAAATATGTTAACATTAACAAGAGCAGATAATATAATAGGTTTAGAAGAATGTTCCAAAAAAAAACATGCTTCTAGCATGCTTTACAAATAAATCATAACTATAAGAGCTACACACAAGGCCACATCGTGGGGTTTGCCGGTTTGGTTTTGTGCTTTCTCTTCTCCTCCCCCACCCCACCTAGCCTGCTTACACCCCATGTCCCCATTGTTCAATGGGATTAAATTGGACCTTGAATCTGATAATATTCCGTGACAATAACCTCACTTGGCCACTCATTTTAAGCTGAAGCATGATAAAAAAAACATACTGAAGTTTTAACAAAGAAGAAATTAAGAAGATATAAAACCATACATATAGGCAAATAACACGTCCCTCAAAGATAGCATTCGGGCATGGAGTGTGAAAAATATGCAGTCCTTAATTTAGATGAGGAAGCAAAGAGCTTCTGAATTTTCATGACAAACAGAAAGTTGCATCTCATATGCACTCAAATACTCAAATCATGAATCATTATCAATTTTTCTTGAGCAGGCTTCCATTTTGATCTCTTTATGTTAGTGAAAATAGGAGGAGCCATTTTCATCAAGTTATCAACATGAAGCAGTAAATTACCATTATAATAGCCCTTACAAAATAAATTGCTTACAAGTTAATGAAAAAGTAATACTAGTATCAAAAGGCAAATAGATACTCTGTATAACTCATAGTAAAGCACGATAGCTCACTTTTTGAATTTCACGTACAAATTCTGGTTCTCTGTGCAACATAGTTTATAAATCTTAACAGCTAACAATAAGACATTAAATGACTATTTCGAATACACTGAATAGCAAAATTGCAAACCACGCCTCTTATGAAACGATAACAGCATATCTAGTGGCGCTTTCCACGGCCACCCTTCTTGCCCTTGTTCTTATTGCCCCCCTTTTTCTTCATACCTTTGTAAGGAGCAAACTTTTTCTCATCAGGGACAGCTGTCGACGTAGATGGTTTGAACAGACCTTTTACATCGAGCACGCCATTCCTGAACCGACCTTCACTTGATTTTAGTACCCTGTCCTCAGGGTTGCGCCTTTGAGTTTCTCTTCTAGAGCTGCATCCGTTATTTATCCCAAATCGCCTAAGAACTAAATTCTACACAAACAAATAGTTAACACCCACAATTTTTGGAAATTTGAAAAGAAATCAAACACCAGACAAGTGCCACCGCCCCCAGTTATTTTTTTTATCAAAGGTAATATCCCATGTAACTAGCCAAAAATGAGTCACCAAGAGGTTATGTTAGCAAAAGCAACAAATAAATCTAAATATACATGTGTGATTGATTTTAAATCGAAATTTAAAAGTTTACATGGGTCAAATATGTATGTTTGGATGAAGGACTTTGGGGAGGGGCATAGGCGTCCTTAGGGGGAGTTACCCTAGGCAAGGTGCCTAGGGCCTCACATCTCAAGGGCCCCCATTTTTTGTATTTTTTTTTGTAAAAATAGTAATAAATAAATAAATAAATAAATAAATAAATAAATAAATAAATAAATAAATAAATAAATAAATAGTAATGCCATAAAAAATGAATACTAATATGTACTCCCTCCGTAATTTTTTGTTTGCTACACTTTCCTTTTTTGGATGTATTCAAAAATTTGCTACACTTTCCCTTTTTGGTAAGTTTTTTCTTTAAAAATACTCAACCACCCTTACTTTTTCTACTTTTTATCTTCTCTTTCATACTTTTCCACCATCTCTCCTACTTTTTCTATACTATTCATTACCCTTACTATTTCACTCTTAAAAAATGTGTCAGCACCTATTGTAGCAAACAAAAAAATAAGGAGGGAGTACTACCTTTAACTTTTGAATCACTCGAGTTTGTTAACTTTTTTATTTAGTTGTTAAAAAAAGAATATTCTATTTAAAGTAAGTGATTTATGATGCTAACTTTTTTATAGACACGTACAAAAAATTCTACTAATTAATTTATGTTCTTATATTATTAAATGTATTCCCAAGTAATGCTACAGTTCTTTTTAAATAATAAGAAAGTGATCATAATATAATAAAGCTATTATAATTGATTATATAAGACTTAAAAGTTCTTCATTTCTAAAAATCATATTTATTTTTTCTTTGAAATATTCAAATCTTTCTTGAAACATCAAAGCAGAGAATATTGTATTATTTATTCCTGTTGATGTGCTGATTGTTTAAAAATGTAATTTTATTTAGAGTGCAAAAGTTGATAAAGTTTTCTATTGAGAAAAGGAAAATTTCAAGTATATATAAAACTATTATCCCCATCCCATGATCAAACCGACTTTGTTTGGTCAATGGTAGTAGATTTTGGACAATTACAATGATTCTAGTTATGAAATTTATATATTTTATATTGTATGAAAGTTATTTTAAAATTGAAACATTTGTTTTGAAAGTAAATTTTATTTGGATTGATAGAATATTTAATTACATTGAAACGTTCATAATCATTCATTAGATCAATATAATTATTTAATTATTTTGTTTATTATTTTTGTTTGTATAAATTATACGCTGCTCTGTAGCCCAGGGCCTTGAACTCTCTGTGGCCGCCCCTGGGGAGGGGCTTTGGAGGCCTAGTCTATAGAATGTTTCTGAAAGAGCATAAAACGTAATTGAGATGTTATACATATATAATACATAATACAATATCATCATAAGTTGTCAATGGCGAGATATGGCACGCGCCATATGTGCCATCGCCATGAAAAAGTGGTCTTCGCCATAGCGCTATATGCGCCATCGGCATGAAAAAGTGATCTTCGCCATAGCGTCATATGCACCATCACCGTGCACCATGAAAAATGCCTTTGTGCCATGGCGCTTACCATTCACCATGACAAGCTTGAATATCATTTTATGTTGATCTTTAATTTTTTCTTAAGAACTTCAAAAGACAAGTCAAAACTCAAAACATAGATACACAACCCTCCAAAACCTTCTTCTCCAAACAAACCCAAAGTGAGACAAGATAGAGTAGAATGAACGACCTACCTCTTCTAATTCTTTTTGCTCCCTCTCCTTCTGTTTCTTCATCATCACCCGAGCCACACTAAGTGGAAGTCTCTGCTTCTTTGGATGCTGAATTGACTCCAAATAAAGTTAATGAATACCAACAGGCGACATGGACATAAATATAAACATATATGTTAAATAAATATCAATGTAACAATATCCTTGGAAAAAGGGATCACCTTTCCCCCAAGAGAAGCAACTTTTTTGTTTTCCAAATCCTTCTTCTCCTTCCATGTCATGTGTGGGGAACCTGACAAGAAGATTATTGTGATTGAAGTAGGTCATAAAATCTGGGGGAAAACATGCATAAATCAACAAATAAAACTGATTCACCTAATGTAATATTTCAGGTTCTTTGATCATCTCTCCATATGTAAAGATAAAGCAAAGGGGTACTAAGAAAATATGCAAACTATTGACAGCAACATCTACCTAAAGTTATAATAGCGGCCAATCCGTATCGGGATGGAGCATGACTAATGCCTAATGCTCCATTCACAACTCTTATGCCCATTAAAGTGGAGTACCACTACCTAAGACTTATCAAAATACATCTATGGAATTGCATCAATGACAAAACAAAACTATTACTATAAGGAAAAAGTATATTGTTAAAAGTCAAAACAGAGATAACAAAACCAATTAGTTCTCGAGAAGAAATTATGGTTCCTAAAAAGGTAGTCAAAGTAGTGAGGCGCACTTAAGGCGCTATAGAGTACTTGTATCACATGAGACGCAGAGCGCAAAAAAACGCTCGCGTGATTCACGTCAAGCGCACTATTTAAAAAATATTACTACCTCCGTCCCAATTTAATGGTACAAGTTCTTATTTACTCGGTCAGAAATCACTCTTAATCTCATACTTTATACTCCCTCCGTCCCTCTATTAAGTTCCTACTTTGACATACACACATATTTAGAAAATAAATTTGACTTTACTGTTTAGACACTGTTTGACACTGTTTAGACACTGTTTGACACTGTTTGACACTGTTTTGATGTAGGATAACTTTCCATTTAGGGAAATGAAAAGATGATTTTGGGACAGCCCAAAAAGGAAAGTAGGAAGTTAATAGCGGGACGGAGGGAGTATATCAATTTTTTTTATCAAACTTGATTCTGGTTTTTGTGACTTAGTAGAGCTTTTAGGGGGTGTTTGGAACTGATTCTGATTCTGCTTCTTTTTTATAGCAGAAGCAGAATTAGATTTCAGAAGCTGGTCTTCCCAAGCTTCTTAAAAAACTGATTCTAGAGGTAAATTTGGGCACCAGAAGCACTTTTGCACTTCCACCCAAACACTCCAAATTTTGTTTCTGCTCCCTGAAGGAGCAAAAGCAGTTTAAGAATCAGATTCAAACACCCCCTTAATGTAGTTTCTGAATATGTAATTTTTTTAAATAAAAAAATTGAGATGGAGGTAATATGTATTCTATTCTAGAGTGCTCATGGGAATATTTTCAAAGGAGGCAAAACATCACTATTTTTTGGCATGAAAATATCATAAAATAAAGTAAAATGAATCACTAAACTGTCAGGGTCTCTTTGTTATGAAGTAGCAGTCAGTCCATGCAATTTTCAACTCGATTTTCATCATGGGTCATCCGGAAACAATCTTTTTATGCTTTAGTACATGGGTAAGGTTACGTACATTTGACCCCTTACCCCACCGTAGGTGGGAGTCTTTGCGGCACTAAGGTTTGTTCTACTATTCTTAAGTGATCAAATTTGACATATTCAACACCTTATCAAGGTTCAAATTGCATATTGCATATAATGCATAATCGTGGCGTTTTTATTATTATCGTGAACTACTCATTGCGCAATGAGGCGTATACATACATACATATGGTGTGTGTTTATAAACACAACTAAAAATAGAGAAAAGTACTCATGAATGTAATACAGAAACAAATTATCATGAGAAAATAATTTTTGTAAAGTAATACGTTCAAATTTCATAGCGTGGAGTAGTCCAAAACAATCTGAACCGTCCTAACATTTAAGTATAAAATAGGGATCATATGTACTAGAATTTCCTCCATCATCATGTCAACGTCCAACTCTTCATCTTAATGAACCAAGTGCAATTTTCTTTTTCCTTTATCATGGCGCTTTCATTTTGGACCCTGACTATGTCCCCCACGACCTTTTTCATGACACATTGCATTCCCACGAACAACTTTTTGACTTGAATGATGGACACGCCTAGATCTAGCTCCATCATCATCGTCAACATCACGATCATCATCACTATCACCACTAGGATTCAATCCATCTTCATCAACCACCCATTAATCATCCGAAGGAAAATCATCCATCCTTAATGGATAAATGTATTCTTTAAGTGTCACTTTTTTCATCCATTTTGTCTTTAATCTCTTGTTATACATCACAAATACCAACTTGTTCAGATTGCTCGTGTGCAAACGATTCCTTCTCTTGGTATGTATCTACATGTATATTAGTTAAACTAATTATTTACATGACTGATTCATATTTGTATTAAATTAAATATGAACATATGTACTAAATTAAATATTTATATACATTATAATAATATCTTAGTAAAAGTGCTCGAGATACGTTTACAAGCAGACAAGGAACATGTTAGACTCAAAACTCTCACAAAAAAATCCATTAACTTTGGAGTCTGATCCCCGTGCTCGAGTCACGCGCTTATTGACGGTGTTTTTTTCCAACTTCATGACTGAAGAATCCCTTTTCAAACGGTAATCATCCATTTACAAATGTATCTTCTCCTGAACCTCACGATCTGGAAACATATTGACCACAAAGTTGAACAAGTCATGTTTAATATATGGATGAATGGACATAGTGGGATCATATTGATACTGTGGATTAAGATAGTATGTTGTTGCATGCAAATCACAATGCATTTGAAATTCCCACTTCTCATCTATTTTGTTCAAAATTTCTTTATAAGCAGTCGGATCCTCACCCAAATTTTTAGTTATCTCTTCTTTGGCACAATCCATAAAACCATATACAAATCCCATATCAGCAACATTCTCTGGTCCACCAACCTCAACACACTAAACAAAGGCTTTGTTGTCTTGATTACATAAGCCATGTTTGGCCGAAAATATGTATCTCCAATCACAATTTGTTTCACCGTCTTTGCATTTGTTTCATTGAACATGTGATGAGATGACCATTCTTTAGAAACAAACATTTTTTCCAAATCGTCTTTTGCATTATGCATGCTTTGCAACGTAACTGTAGCAAATCTTGTGGGAGCAAGACAAATAAGATCTCTTTTAAGCATTTGTCACATCAAAGTCTGTGCTCATCCATATAGTGAATCACCAATATAATATTATAAAATTATTAAATTTATGTTACTATTTTGCAATTTCAAAAATAATGATTAAATTTTAGACTTGTACTTACTTTTTTAGCCTTTGTTAGCGCATTCTTGTGTTGTGGGAGCTCCTCAATTTTCTCCAGCATCAAATCAATGTAATGAGCTATATAAGGTGTCCACCAAAGATGGCGCTTCGTCATCAATAATTCCCCAGCAGCTTTATAGTTCGATGCATTATCGGTTGCAGCTGCATAACAATGTCTTCCCCAACCTTTTCACAACACTATCTAGAAGCTAGCAGAACATTCTTGCATTTTTTACGTGGTTCGAGGTATCAACAGATTTAAAGAAAAACACTATTCCATATGGATTATTAACGAGAAAGTTGATTGGTTGTCGTCCACGCACATCCTTCCATCCATCATACAATATAGACACTTCAGTATGTGTCCATGTCAGCTTCACGTTTTACGCAACCATGTAGTTTTTCTAGTCCGACTACAATGTCGAGTAGAGATCCAACACGGAAACATGGAGAGGAAATAAAATGAGAAGGGTTAAAGGGGAAGTCTTGCAAATATCTAAAGTCTCACTATTGCGGTCAAGAGACCATAGGATGGGTAAGTGGATTAAAGAATCATCTTGCCTGCACAAGAAGGAATTAAGACCATGTCCCTTTGTTCCGGATGATGTAAAAGAAGATATGATAGCCCTTCTGAAGTTGAGTGAGTAAACACTAACGGTTAGAGATAGAGATCGGGAGGAGGTTATTAATGGTGGTTCATATTATCAAAGTGCGAACTCAAACAAGGAGATTCAAGTGAGGGTACCAATACCCAACAAGGCATCGAGGATCTTATTGATAGATATATCATTGACGTCGAAGGTGAATCTGAAGGAAACTCATGTGGGTGAAAAGGAAGCAAGGTGACAATGTTGTTTGAATGTTGGTAGATTTTTTTCCGAGAATGGCATTACTCCTTTCAACGTGGCCAATTCACCTTCATTTATCAACATGTGGCATGCAATCGGTAATTACGAAAGGGGCTTCAGGCCATCTTCAGCTTATGAGCTGAGCCATTTGATTCTAGACAAAGAAACCAAAACAACTCAAAAAAGTGTCGGTGGCGTGAAGCTGACATGGACATACCGGCATGTCTATATTGTCTGATGGGTGGAAAGATATGCCCGGACGACAATTGATCAAATTTCTCATCAATAATTCATATGAAACAGTTCTTTTTAAAATTTGTTGATGCATCGAACCACGTAAAACATGCACGGATGTTGTGTAATCTTCTAGATAGTGTTGTGGAAGAGGTTGAGGAAGATATTGTTACATCGGTTGTAACCGATTATGCATTGAACTATAAAGCTACTGAGAAATTATTGATGACAAAGCGACAACGTCTTTAGTGGACACCTTGTGCAGCTCATTGCATTGATTTGATGCTTGAGAAAATTGGGGAGCTCTCTCAACACAAGAGTGCGCTAACAAAGGCTAAAAAAGTAATTTAAAGTTTAAAATTTGATTATTGCTTTTGAAATTGCAAAATAGAAACATAAATTTAATAATGTATAACTTAAAATTGATTCATTATATGTACAATTATGGATGAGCACTCGCTTTGATCCGACAAATGCTTAAAAGAGGTCTTACTCGTTCTGCTGCCACAAGATTTGTTACAATTTACCTCACGTTGCAAAGCATGCACAATGCAAAAGACGATTTGGAAGAAATGTGTGCTTATAAAGAATGGGCATCTCATCACATGTCCAAAACAACAGAAGCATGAAACAAATTCTGATCAGAGATAAATATTTTCGACTGAGCATGGCTTATGCAATAAAGACAACAAAGTCTTTGTTTAGTGTGTTGAGGATGGCGGACTCAGAGAACGTTGTTGGTATGGAATTTGTATATGGTTCTATGGATCGTGCCAAAAAAGAGATAGCTACAAATTTGGGTGAGGATCTGGATGCCTATAAAGAAATTTGGAACATAATAGATAAGAAGTGGGAATTTCAAATGCATAGTAATTTGCATGCAACAACATACTTTCTCAATCCACAATATCAATATGATCCTGATATGTCCTCTCATCCAAAGATTAAACTTAGCTTGTTCAGTTGTGTGGCCAAAATGTTTCCAGACCGTGAGGTTCAAGAGAAGATACATTTGCAAATGGATGATTACCATTTGAAAAGGGGATTCTTCGGTCATGAAGTGGCGAAATGCACTAGTAATAAACGTAATTCTGGTATGAAAAGTTAATTCATTAGACATCAATTTTTGTAGCCTACCTCATAATTTTATTTGAATGACTGCAGTGGATTGGTGGTCTCAATACGGGGATAAGACTCCAGAATTAATGAATTTTGCTGTGAGAGTTAGAGTTTTGAGTCTAATATGTTCATATTTAAAATGTATATAAATTTTTAAATTAAGACATACGTACATATGTATTAACGGTTAACATATACAAATATGAATCAGTCAAGTAAATAATAAAATCTAACTAATATAATTGCACATACATACCAAGAGAAGGAATCGTCTGTATGCGAGCAATTTGTGATGTCTAACAAGAGATTAAAGAGAAAATTGATGAAAAGAGTGTCACTTGAAGAAGACGTCAAACCTTTATTGATGGATGAGATTCCATCGAATGATGAATGGGTGGTTGATGAAGATGAACCGAAATCAAGTAGTGGTGATAGTGATATGATGGTGATGTTGACGATGATGTTGGAGCTAATGTTGGGTATGTCCACCATTGAAGTCAAGAAATTGGTCGTGGGAGTGGAATGAGTTGTGAAAAATGTCAAGGGGGGCGACACAGTCAAGGTCAAAAAAGAAAGCACCCCGATAAAGGAAATGGGAAATTGCATTTAACCGATGAAGACGAAGAGATAGAGACGTTGATGATAACGCTTTTGATCTTGACCTTGATAATGGAAGAAATGTTGGTGGATATAATACCTATTTTATACCATTAGATAGTGATGATTCATTTTTTCAATCATCAATCTAATAATCTTACAATTTCAAAATGTTAGAACAGTTCAACTTTATTGGACTACTCTATGCTTTGAATTTTGAACAAATTACTTTACCAGGATTATTTCCTTATTATAGTATGGTTTTATATTACATTTGATGAGTACTTTTGCTTATTAATGAACACAAACACACAGAAAATACATATAAATGCGCAATGAGGCTTAATTAATACTCCCTCCGTATTTAAAAGATGGGAAAAATAATAAAAATACCCCAAACTTTAAAGGGGTGTGAGCTAAGCACCCCAAACTTGCAATTGTAATTTAAATACCCCAAACTTTACATATAATGTTATTTTCGCACCATTTTTATGTATTGCTTCTTTCAAAAATGTAAATTTATGCTGTTAATTGCATAATTTAAAATAGAAAAGTAAAAGTGTTGCAATTATATAGATCGGGGGTAATGTAATTTATGTCACAATAGAAGTTTGAATGCTAATTGTGCATTCATGAATTCTAAAATATTTTAAATTATGCAATTAACACCATAAGTTTACATTTTTGAAAGAAATAATACTTAACTATGGTGCTAAAATAACTTTTTTTTAAGTTTGGGGTATTTAAATTACATATGCAAGTTTGGGGTACTCATCTCACACCTCTTCAAAGTTTGGGGTATTTTAATTATTTTCCCCTTAAAAGATTGTTGTGTTTGGTTATGGCACGAGATTTAAGATAGAATAGTAGGGGTAATGAATAATATAGAAAAAGTATAAGAAAAGGTGAAAAGTAGGAGAGGATAAAAGGTAAAAAAAGTAAGGATAATTGAGTATTTTTTAAAGGAAAAATTTACCAAATAGGAAAAGTGTAGGGAACTTTTAAATACATCCCAAAAAGAAAAGTGTAGAGAACTTTTAAATAAGTAAGGAGTACGCAATAATAATAAAAACGCCACGATTACGCAATACGCAATTCTGAACCTTGGTCAAGATAAAAGACTTTTCCCACTACTAAGAAGGGTTTAATATGGGTTTAAGTTGTTTTACGTAATATTTGGATGGGCAAAAATCTTATTATAAGTATGGGTTTATTGTTCGGATGGGCAAAAATCTTATTATAAGTATGGGCTTGCTGTTTAAAGTAGGATCAAACAAAAAATAATCTCATAGGCCTTTCCCAGCCCAAGTGACTTAAGCGTGAGCTTTTATCAGCTTGGGCACTTCTGCGCTTCTACACCTAAACTACGGTTCAAACACGGAGCTACGCTTGGACGTTGTTCAGTTGCTAAGCATCATGTCCGTTGCGCCTAGTGCGCATAAGCATCCAGGCGCTCACTTTTGACTACCTTGGTTCCCAAACATTCAAATCAAAGAATAAAAGCGACAATAACTATTGGCCAATAATTAAGCATTTTTCAATACAATTTGATGCATTTCACAGTAGTAAGAAATATAGCTGCACTAATTTACCTAAAAATTGGATGTCTTTCAGGATAGACTTGAAGTCCACCTTTACATCTGGGTCATCTACAGTGGCAGCTTTGGAACGCTCAGCTTTCTGTCTTTGCTGCTTCATCATTTTGTCTGTTCAGAGAAGCCAAAGTATAAGATGCTAGGATTAGCTTCTACATGAGCAAGAGGTCAAGAGAAGTACCATTATTATTAATTTCAAGAGTTGAATTCAAAGAGCATTAGCGATAGGGTTCCCAGACGTTTCATTTTGGGTCACATCCCCCCGGGACGGATCCAGGATTTTGAGTCAAGGGGGGCGAAATTTTTTCATTAGTGTAGGGAGTGAAAAAATTTTGCTAGTTCAAGGAACGGGGAAAAAATCGCTAGTGTAGCGGGGCGAATTTTTTCGCTAGTGAAGGACTCTGTGGCTAATTTTTATTTAAAAAGCTCCATTAGTACATACTACATACACGATGCCGATTAAATCTATTATATTGTAATTCAAATCTTTTATTATACAAAAGCAAAATGAAATCTGTACAGTGTTCCCGCCAAAACACTGTACAGTAACGGGCCAGGTCAAGTGAATATGGGTTCAGTGACGGGTCATGTAGAAAGTTCTATGGTCTGCTCAATAACTTTCAAAACAGGCCCAATGTCCAACAAATTAATTTAGTGGTTCAGTCTGTGTTTGTGTGGCTCAAGAAAAAGGTGTACTTGATTGACAAAAAATCTGTTGTGAGATGGTATCAGTACAGTATTTCGAAAGTGGAGCCTCTGATATATAATTTAAAAAGTGATACTTTACCAAATAGCATTAACTACATACTACTAAAAAATCTTTTGGGGTCATTTCAGAATCCGCATGCATCGCCCAGCACACAAAACATTTAATGTTGGTTCTACAAAATTTTAAATAAAAGATTGATGAGAATGAATTGCCTATTGGTTAAAAATTATTTGCATCCTTCAGCCAGTATATATACCCATTCGGCCACAGTAGCAAACCATCACCACATATACCCATTCGGCCACAGTAGCAAACCATCACCACAGCCAACAAGTCACTACTCTGTATGTCTTGAATTAATGGTAGGTTCATCAATCAATAAGGAATGTGGCCTTTGTTTAGGGCGTTGAAAAAACCAAATCCAATTGGTCTTGAAGGGTTAAGATGGTGAGACTCTACAAGGTGCTTTGCTAGGGGAGGGCAGATACTGGAAATGGTATTGCTTGACAAGAGGTGATTTTTATCTTTGATTATCACAATGGTTTTGTGATAGTTTTTACTTGGTGATTAACATTAGTTTGTATTAACAGGGAGAACACATTTATGCAATCATCAAAAGACTACACCCGGCCATGCATGTACAAGATTATAATCAAAGAACAATGAGTGTATGTCCATGTAAAAATATAAGTGGCTGATTGTGGCATAGAATTTAATCTCCGTTCAAATAAATATATTGATTTCAGAACTTGATGAATCTCATAATTAAATACTCCCTCCGTATCACATATATCTTCTCACTTCCAAAGTGGGTGAGATTAAGAATAGTGAAATGAGGTATGAATTATTGAGGGTATGATGGGAAGATGGTGAAATAATGTGATGGAATGAAGGATAAATCCAAAAAAAGTAGGTGTAGTAGTGTATTATTTTTTAAATTATTGAGGGTATGATGGGAAGATTTAGAAATGGGAAGATATAAATGTTACGTCCAAAAAAGGAAAGTGGGAAGATATGAATGTTACGGAGGGAGTAGTATAAATACATCGTGAATTATAAACTCGGGTGACATCCAAAAAAGTTTGACTAATTAATGGATAAAGACTAAAAACTAATTAATAAAAGTATTAAATTTCAGATCAATTAAGTACAAACAGGTATGACAAATATACCACAAAGAAAAACAAGAGGGCTGAGATCCTGAGGTTATATCTCAAGACTTGGTAGATGTACCACTGGTCGTGTGCAAACGATGGACATAAACCCCACTCTTTAAAGTTGTGAACCAATACGGTCACCTTAAAAATGATGAGTTAATAAGTCCATTTTTGAGGAGACCAGATACCTTCCAGCCCAGTGTAAACATAAATTTAAAAAAAAAAATCAAGATATATCACAATCACAAGGTCTGTTTATGCCAAACGTATAACATTTGGAGAATAAAAATCTATCAAGCCTAGTCCGACCCAAGTCCATAACAAGAAACAATAAGATTTGACATCCTTGAGTATCACTTTAGCCTTCGTAGATCTATTAATCCAAATATTTATAAATCAGATAGATCTTATTAGGCAGAGTTTGAATCAGTTAATCTAATTCGGCCTTTTTAGAAACTATTAATCTAATCAGTTAATCTATTAAGGGATAACAAAAACAACGAAGGAAGACAAAAGATCTGAGATCCTTTCTTCATAATCACTTCATCTTTGAGTCGTTCATATGCAAGGAAAATATTTTGTACAAACAGGTTTTGATATTCCATTATTGCATAATAGAGAACATATGCAGGCCAAGAAATAACAAAAAATCTATAATAAAAAAACAGAAGATCTATCACAATCCAATTGGTTTTTGGGAAATCGTATAGATCTTAATCCATGTCACATACAAGTTGAAAATAGAAGGAATAATGAGGTCTGAGATCATCTGTTATCACTCAGCCTTCGTACCAAATGAATACAAAAGGTAGCATCGTGGATTAAAAAGCAGACATAAGTTCTATACATGAGTTCTATCCGTTATCACTCAGCTTCATGTGTACCTTTTTTACATCCAAGTCACTATACGAAGGATACATGAGTTCTAACTACATGATGTACCTTTAATAAAAAAAGGTAGCGCCGTAGTAGTGGTGGATTAAGAAACCACCGGCCAAACGGTAGACGAACTCCGATGTTCTTCTCTATTGCTCAGCCGTAAGACAAGATCGGCAAAACAAAACGATGAGAAGGGTCATGAATAGAGAGAAACGGGAGGTTGAGACAACACTGATGGTCTGTCAAATAGACCGCTGAGTAAATGTATTAGATGAGGGTTAAATGTGAGGTTATATAGGACGGGTTAGGTTAGGTTGTTGGGCTGGGTTTTATGTGCAATGGGTCGGAAAATAGGACTACTAATGAGTTTTACATTATAGCACTTAAATATTATTATTATATTTAATGAAGTCTTATTAACAATTCGAATTTTATTGAAATATTAATTATGTTATAATATATTTTAGAATTAATAGCTTATTTTATCTCAAATTATCATCAAATTCATAAATTTATCCTATTATTTGACTTTTATAAAAAAAAAAACTCTACCTTCATGTTTTTCAACAATTATGTTTTTCTTTTTTTGTTTTTTCAATTACACATTTTTATCAATAAGATATAAGCAATACAAGTTTGTAAAATAAAAACTAGAATGAAGCGAAAAATATGAATATAAATATGATTTTCTTCTTAAATTTTACTAATTCATTCATTGAAAGTGTAATTGTGAGACACAATAAAGTTTTTTTTTTAATGAAACTGAGAATATTTGATAGATCGAAATTTGATAATTATTGAGGATATATTTAACCAATAATCCCATAATCTATGCCTTATGTGGTCTAATTTATTATTGTATCTGAAATTAGAATTTATGAATAGTATTATTGGTATAATAATTTTTTAATTGTTATGATTACCAATCTATGAGTCTTCATTATCATTTCTTTAATTATAAATTTATTATTCAGGTTACGTCTATAACAATTTGCATTCATTTACACATGAACTAATAATTACTACAAATAATGTCATATCGCTATTACATTTAAAGTCCGCTTACTAACACTGCTATCCGACTTATCAGGCTTATCAGCTAATTTTCTCACCAAACACGTAACATTTGATTTTGTGTGACGAAATGTGTATTAATAAGAAAAAGTAATGTTGGACTTACTTTACATATAATTTTTTCTTTATTTTATTAATTAAATCGATTTCAGTGTTATCAAACGGCTCTTTAATACCCCGTGCATCGCACGGGTGAGAATCTAGTTTTAGACAATGAAAAGATAATTTTGATTTAATAACTATAAGTGCTCCAGAAAAAAATATTGATACATTAAAGCTTAAGAAATGACAAATTAAAGGAAAATTATATGAAAAGAAGAAATGATATGATATACATAGTATAACATTTTATGATATTATTTGAAGGTAAAGTGGTTAAAGTTAAAAGTACACATCAACCAATGTTTTTTAAGTAACTTATGTCTTGTTTAACCACATGAATTTTAACAGGATAAAGAATTGATTTTTGAATTGAGATTTTTGTCTACCGAGAAGGCTATTTGTTTGTCACGATGAGTTTTCTTAATATTACAATAGTATGTATGAGATTATTATACTTAGAATAATATGATACGTAGTAATGCTAATTCATATATATGGTGCATATTATATTTGTATTAATGCTAAAATAAGTTAAAGTATTATCTATTGAACAAATTGTTTTTAAAAAGTAAGAGGTAAATGAAATGTGTAATTTAATGTCAACAAACATTTATACTATTTAACTATTGTATCTGATATTCAATATCTTTTGATATCTTACAAAATCGAGTACTAATTATCTAATAAAGATAATTAAACGTTAGAAAACTAAGAATTTTTTGGTACCCTAAGTCTTAAACAACGAGTTCTACTGTTTATTTGTTTTTAGATTCTACTTCTTTTAAATCTCCAATTAAGCATTGCATTATGTGAGCCTATATATTAATTTTGAAAACTAAAAGTTAAGGGGGGCGAAAACATATATACCTAATTAAGGTATGAAAATTTTATGAAAATATTATATATATATATATATATAATAGAAAAATTTGGAAGTCCAAGGGGGGCGGTCGCCCCTCCCCCCCCCCCTTGGATCCGTCCCTGCCCCCCCCCCCCCCCCGGAGAGGAAGTGGTGGAACACAAAAACTATATACTCTGTTTATTTTGTACACCTGTGAAGCTAACCATCTCAGATAGCTTCATGCCTTCATGTTCTTCTTTCATTGATACAGTGTTATAAACTGATAACTAATAACCTATTGAAAACATATGTTCTGTACATGTATAAATCTATTTACTAGATTTAACCCATACAATACACTCAATGTAATTAATCCTTAGATTTATATTAAGTACTATCATTCCCTCAGTCCCAAAATATATTTTCTATGTGGTTTTTATCAAGGGCGGATCTAGTGCCGATTAAGATGGGATCGGTTCGGTTCCTTTTAAAAATTGGAGGAACCGTTAAGAAAATCACAAATCATGATATCGGTTCAGTTCCTATCAAAAAAATCAAGAACCATTATGGAACCGAACCAAGTATTAACAGTTCGGTTCTTGTCATTTTTCGGTTCTTAAAAAAACTAAAATCCAACGATTTTCGCCACACAAAAGTTAGAATACACCACAAAAATGCAATCAATCAAACTATAAGCCCATCTTAAATAACCAACAAAGTTAAAATTACAAGTTCAGGTTTGTCAAAACATTAGGATTGACTGAAAGATGAAAGTTAATCTGTTTAAAAAGTACTACTTAACAAATTGGAGTTTAAAAGGTACAATCAGTTCAGCCCCTAATTCCAAATTTAACATCATAAATATATTATAATCATTAATCTGGACAAAGTTGATCAGTAAGTAACAACCAAATGTGCATATCCCTTAGTTGGGTATGCATGATCAGTAAAGCAACAAATACAAAGATAATACAGAGTAAAAGTTATGAATATATATAAATATATAGACATCTATATTTATAAATGTACACATACAGGTTTACATAGCCGTTCCAAAGGCAATGCACGGCCAAAAATCCAATCACAGCTGTAACCATGTATAACAGTGTTGGGTGTAATATTATGAGGATAACAAAATGGGGTCAAAATCAAGATAAAGAAGATATCACGAGGATTCAAGAAGAGATTCTCAGAAGCTTGAGAATAATAAATAGTGTTGGTTTATTATTCTCACAAAGGAAAAGAAGATAACAGTGTCGGTTTTGCCAAGGGTTCGAAAGATTGAGTTAAATAAAATAATAAATACCAAGAGCAAGAAAAGCTTACCTAGTTACCTACTATCTGCCACTTCTCCTTTGGCGAATCCATTAATCACGAGTGAATATGAAAGAGGAGAGTAGAAGATGATCCGTGTAGCTAGGGTTTTCCTCCTTGTCGTGCTCGACGAATTGAAGACTGAAGCGGACTAAAGGAGTTTGGGCTGCGAGTGGGCTGTGGTTGTACTTCGTATTATTTTTTGTTTCTAATTTGTACTGTGAAATATGGATGATCTAGTAAGAATGAAAAACAGAATACCTTGGTTACTTTTTTATGAAAAACAGAGAACCGAACCGATAGTATACCTTAGGAACCGAACCGTTAAGGTTTTAACTCCAAAAAAGAGGAACCGAATCGAACCGTTTCGTATCGGTTCGGTTCGGTTCGGTTCCAGGATTTTTTTTTGGTTCCCGGTTTCAAAATCTCGGGTCTAGTGCCGATTCTACCTAAAGTCGAGCTTCATAAAAAAAACCCCTATACATAGTGTTCGTTTGTCATATTAGTTCTTTAAAACTTAATGACTAAATATCACAAAAACGCAATACTTAAAAAAAGTCTTATATTGCAACAAAATGACGTACAACTCGCCGAACAAAGTATTAGAAAACTAATGAAGTACAACTCGCCGAACAATTTGAGATGCAAAAGCATAATCAAGTCCGCATAAAGAGTGACATCAACATTCTCAATTTGAAAATTTTCTTCATTCTCATTTGAAGCACTCTCCTTTTCACCTGTTAAATTTTTTGACGATGTGCTCTCTCAAATTGCTCTTTTATTTGAAATCAAGTGCTTATTAATGTTTCCGGCCTCACTTTGAAATAATGGTTCAGTACATCTTTTTTCCTCTTCTGAAATTCAGATAAAGATTTCAGAGGCATGATGCTAAAAAATAAATGAACACATAAATTAGTGGAATGCTTAACAATATAGATAGTGTATTAGTAACTTTCTCTACAAAATACAAAGCATATAATTTAATTAAGTGTGAATTGATAATTCCATATGATGGACAGTCTACCCGGGGGGTATCTTATCCGAGGGGTTATCGCGGGAATAACTTAGAGAGAAGTCAGAGCAAATAGGAGGAGAGAGAGTCGATTTATTAAATGAACTCAGCGTGGTTTACAAGGTAAATAAGGGCTGCTATTTATAGCAGCAATAAATGCGATGAGAGTACACGTGTCAGCAATCCAACGGCCGAAGGGTCACATCAGCCGGGTGGCACCGGCAGTGGCATGTTCACCGCATTGAATGCGGTTGGTGGATGTGACGTCGCATTAAATGCGGTGGTTGCTTGTCTCCAGAGGGAATCTTTGACGATTAAGTGGTTTGGCCGAAGGATTCTCCTTCGGCCGAGGGCTCTGTGTAGCCGAAGGCTTCATGTAACCGGGGACCCCTGTGTACCCGAAGGCCCTGTGTGACCGGAGGTTTGGTTCAGCCGAAGGCTTCCCTGATGCCGAGGGCTCGATAATGCCGAAGGCTCCTGTTTTTCCCGTTTTCTCCCAGTAGCTTCGTATGCCCAAAAAAGGCTATCCTGAGAGTTTCGGAGCCTTCGGCCAAGGAGGCCGAGGGCACCCCAGTATGTATTTCGGGCTATTTTTGGGGCTTGGGCCGTTGCTTTTGGGCCTGAGTTGTTCTCTGGGCTCATTGGTCATGTGTAGCAGAAGTAGGAGTCTATGGGTCGGGGGTTCTTGGGCCATATACTCCATCAGGAGTCCCTCACTCCTTTTGCCGAAAGGTACTTGAGGGAAAAAGGAGTAGTTGTGTTGATTCTCCCGGAGGCTGCATCATTTCGTTGGGTGCCTTTGTTGGAGAACTCGTCTTCTGCTGATTGCCGAAGGGTTCCCTCAGGCCCTCACATGTCGAGGGTTTCCTGAGGGAAGGTATTCGTAACCTTCGCATGTTCGCCAGGGGCTCCCCTCAGTCCCTCACATGTCGAGGGCTTTCTGAGGGCAGC